CTTTCTGTTGCATTTTTACAGATTGTAGATCCTTTTCAGATTCTTGTGGCAGCCAACAAAGCAGTTCATCTACAGAAGATAGGTAAAATGAAGACCAGAACACTCTTTGCAGAAATTATTTTCAGCCTTTCACCAAACAACAATGTAAGATTTATTGAACAAATTTCTTTTTTTGCCAGAAAAGCTTGCTAAGATCCACACGGCCAAACTAAGTAGATGTATTCCTTTAACACTCTACATAGCTACTAGTAGAAGTTTTTAATTATTATTTTTATTTATTATTATTTTTAATTACACTAGTGTACTCATATGGTTTGTAGCTTGTCAGAATTCCATTAATGTAAAATGTCTGTCAGTTTATACTCTTGGTGTATCTGACACAGTAACTGAAAAGGTTCCTTATGTGTAGTGAGAAAATGACTCTTTTTTTTTTTCTCATTTTTCAGATTTCAGATGCATTTAAGAAGTTTGGCATTTCAGACAGCGACACAGCAGTACTCATTGTGCTGGTCGTGGATGGAGACAAGAATGTAAATCTGGCAGATATAGCATCTCAGGTGGAAGGCCAGCAAGTTTCCCTAGATGAACTCCCCCAGCTAACAGACATAGCCAAAGTTAAAAAGGTGTGTAGCCAAAAGAGAAGACTGATATGGAGAAAAGGGACAGTTTATTTAGTTGTCTGATTAAATATCAACAGACATAATTACCTTAGGATCTGTATTTCTTTAGCACAACAGAAAACTTGTTTTAAGTGGACCTTGATTATTAGAATTTTTTTAGTTGAAACAAATTTTAGTTGTCACACCCCAACATCACAAAGTTTAAGTCTTGAAATTATTAGTGTTGTCAGGGAATTAGAGCATAAAAGTCAATTCCTGATTACTGCCTACCATGCAAGAACTTTTGATTCCTGTTTTTCAGGCAAATATTCATTTAATTAAATATTTCAGTCCTGAGCAGTTTTATAAGCTTAAGTACACAGATAGTCCCACTAGGGGTGGTTAAAATAAAAACAGGCTAATTATCTCTTAGGAGCTGTCTTGGGGCATATATGCTCTTAACAGATTACCATATGCTAAATAGGTGTTTTGAAGCATATGTCTTCTACGTGATAAAATTCAAGTAACTTAAATGATCTTTATCATGTCTGTCAAAGCATTGATAGGAGACATGAATAAAACTGGACAAATCATAGCATTTAACATATGGAGCTAGAAGTGTTGCTCTCATTCAGTTTAGTATGTTTCCTTATTCTTGCAGTTTCAGAATTTGCTTCAGTTCAAATTCTTTCTTGCAGTCACAAGAAGATAGGAATTTCCAATATAAAAATGGGGGAGAGGGAAATAATCTTTTCTTGTGTACATATTTTTAGGAGTTACGTCATCAGTTTTTTTCTTCTTTATACATCTTTACTGTTTTTCTTGTTGTTTTTTTCTGCAGATGTACAAAATCACTCCCCAGGAAGAAAAAATCGGCACCTTATTGGATAGTGTTGTTTGCAGAATGTCAACAAAAGATGTTTTGTGAAAAGGTGGAAATAAATTTCGGAGGAAGTGAAGTAGCACTGAGTAGTGTGATGACATCTGGGCCTTAACCAAGCTTGGACACAAGGGTAGCCTGAGCTGTGTTCTAAGTACAGAGAGCATGCCAAGCAGAATTTGCCATTGACATTTCAGTCCTTTTTCATAACAAGGGAGAGTTCAACTTTAAGCTGAATTTAAACAAAAAGCTTGGAAATCTGTACTTTTTTCCTTTGTCAAATGTTTTTTGGTAGTCCCAGAGAGGGTTCAAACACTGTATATCATTTCTATTGACCATGCTCTGATTTGTTTTGGTTTGGCAACCCAATGGGTGATATCCTTTTAACAATACTACTGCCAGAAATGCATCTTCACAGCCCAAGTATTTCTGATGGACTAGAAAGAGGAAATTTTTCACAAACCATCAGCAGCATCTCCCTCTTAGTGCTACTGGGATAGAGTTGCTGCCCAGCCTTTGAGGACAGGAAGAGGCAGAGGGGTGCTGGTAGTGTGGAGCAGGGGCATCAGAGATGTGTACAATGAAGAATAAGGTCAGTGTGGATAATGCTGTGGTGGTGTTAGCACCTGACAGTCTGATGTCATCCATTGCTGGATTTAAAGGATAACATGTGGTGCTTTTACTTCATAACCCTGGTTTATGCATGGTGATGCTGAACTCATAGAGCCTGGTTACAGGTGCAGAATTCACAGACAAATTTGCACCATAGGTTGTATCCACTTGTCAATAGAGCTTACATGGTATTCTTAAAGGACATAAACCTTGGTATTTTGAACCACTGCTAGGAAAGGCCATCAAAGGGAACTAGGAGGACTACTGATTTGCAGTAGTCACCAGGTGCAACAGCTGTAAATGTGTATAATTTAATCACATGCATGCATCCTGTTTAAGTAAAACTACTGTCCTAATGAGGTAGAAATCCATACTGTTTGTTATTTTTATGCTGTACTGTTTTTCTGAGATGTGCATAAAACTATAGCTGTCTGTATTTTATTTTCCTGATGTTTTCTGAGGTATTATGATTTGTGTACTTAAAATATTTTTGGAAGAGAATGCCTCACATTCTAACACATACATTTTGAAGGAGAGGTAAGTTAGAGTTGGAATGTTGTCCCATACAGTAAACAGACCAGTAAACTGACATAGAAACCTGTTTTTATCTGTGTTTCTGTGTTTAATGCAGAAATGTACAGCTTCAGTTTTGCATTTAGATTTAAGTCCTCCCTTAGTTAAAACACAGTAGTATAAATACCATCCTTTTTTTACCAACCAGACCAATGGCAAATCTAGTTACGAACTACTAAAAGAATTGCAAGGTTTATCAAAGGATTAGGGACAAATGGATGTCTGACATCTTGTTTTAAAGATGGCTTTACAGAATGCATCATCCTCTCTAAAGGGAAATGTGATGCAATAATAAAAAATGGAGCTTGGAAGGACTTGAGTCTTCAAAAGTGTGTCACATCAGCATGTGAGAATGACCATGGAAAATAAAGATACTTATTTTCCTTTTCTGACAGTCTAGTTGGTACATGGAATATATCATAAGATTCACTGGCTGAACTACAATGTTTTTGTTAGTTTAAAATAACAGCACACAGGCTTACTTAAGCCACTGCCTTTTTTGAACATGTGTAAAACATCTGTCTGGTCTGTTTAATACTGGAGAAATAGTAATAAAATGGTTGCTGCATAAAAGTTTTCACACACAAGTTCCAAACCTGGGTTTCCAGTTTCTACTTCTCCATCTATTTCATTGGTGTAGAGACATTAAGTAGCTTGTTACTGTTGACATAAGTTAAATTGTGATTTACTGTGAGATCCAAATGAGGTGTTTTCATGGGTGGATTTACAGGAAATTATTTTGGAAGCTGAAATTTCTAATGTCATTCAGTCAGACAGATGAATTGGGTCTATGCACTGCAAGACCACAGGTTTTCACTTAGTGTGGTTGCATTATCCAAGTTAAATGAGTTATTTACAAAAACTGGTAATAAAAGTAGATTTTTTTCACCCTGCAAAGATACAGTTGTCTTTCTGAACACATTACAATTATTTAATTTATAACTCTAATGTTACTGATAAATCAAGCAAGGCTATTTTGCAGAAAAGCAAAAATCTAAGAAAAATGTTTTTCAAAACATTTCATGTTCTGCAGCAGTCTCTTCTGAACTTTCATACCTCATCTCTTCCTTTCACAATGTGAAAGGGGATACTGAAGTATTTTCAATACCTTATTTGGACTACCAGTGCTTCACTGGCAGTATTATACCTCCAGAATTTATAAATTTAACAGCTAAATGCTGCATCATGGTGTGTGGACGATTGTTCGAGGGTTTTTTCCCCTTGGTGGGATGCATTTGGTATTTTGTGTTTGACTTCCATCACAATGCGGTCATTGTCTGTCCCACAACCCTGATCACCAGGGGTTTTTGTGCTGCTGTCAGAATGTGTAGGTCCCTCTCTCATCTCATGTACTTCAATCAATGGAGGGCCCATCCTTTTGTGTTCACTTGTAATGTTCATCCTGCATGTTTTATGACTGGGTCCCTGTGTTATGTGACAATGTATTTAATGTGCTAATAATCTGTTTTCTTAAGTATTCCTTTGTGTGCTGTTCTCTGGAGAGTATCATCAAAGCACTGCTCCCACATGAAAGCAGGCTGAGGTTCTGTCTTAGCAAGGGTGCACAGGTGGGGTAATGCTGGCGGAGTGCAGTGTCAGTGGAGGAACACCAACTCCACCACCTCAGTGCCTGCTGAGAGCTGGCACTGGTGTCTCTGGTGCTACACTGACCTTTGTTAACACCCCTGGAGCTCTTTTTGGGGACATTGCATCCTGATTGTGGATGGATACCAAAATGGCGTACACAATACTTTTAAGAATTGTGTTGTCTAGAGGTACTACCTAATTCTAAATGTGTATCTGAGTCTGTAAAATACATAAATATCTTGCAGACTGTTTTTTTAATTGGGTTACTATATATTCGTTTAGGCAATGCTAAAATTTGGAGTTTAAGCTGAGTTTAGGCTCCCAAGTCTTGGACTATTGTGTCCAACAGTCACTGTCCCTCAGAGCTGCCAGTCCACTAATGTGTTCTCATCAGGTACAGACAACCAACAGAGTTGAACAGAAACTGCCAAATGGCTCTGTGTTCAGAAAGCTTGCAGGTTGCCTGAGTGGGGTTACTTCCTTGAAAATGTGGGAATATGAAATGCCCCTCATCAATGATGAGCTGGTGTACATAGTTAATGAATTATGGAAAATCAAGTGATGGTTGCCAATAAATATATACCATGTGAAGACTGAGCCAGTTGGTTGTGTCCTAAAGGATTCACAAAAGCAGCTTATTTCATTGTTTTATTTCTGAGTTTACAAAGTCATTACTGTAAGTTAAAATTAATGCAAGTCCCATATAAACTCTCTTCAGCAACAGAGGTGGAGAATTCAACTTTTTCAGTGATCTTCCTTTGCCAGCAGAATAGCTGGGTTTGTTGATTGTTTTTTCCTATGTTGTTGTGACATGGCACATTATTTCCCTGCTTACAGTGTATGTTTTACTATGGATTTGGACAGGCAAACTTAGCAGAGGTAGAGACTCAGCAAGTTCACAAATGGAAAGCTTGGATGGACATACAAAATATTGACCAATAAAACAGAAGTTGAACTCTTCTTTCTAGAATATTGTGCTTAAAGTTTCATATTCATGCTGAGGGTAATATAAATATGTACAGGTCAAACAGGTCTCTGTTATTCACAAAATTATATTCTGTACATGGCTTGTTAAATGCTTCATAGATTCACTTCCACAAGTAGCAACCATTTAAGCAGCTTCAAGTAAACTGAAATACACTGAGACCATTTTTTTGTACCTCTTGAGTATGGATAACTGACACAACTATCTCTTTAAATATTTGACAAAGAAAGTTGCTTATTGCTGCTATAAGGACGAATCCTTTCTTGACCAGGCTCCCCATAGTGCCCCTAGAAGGATCATGATGATCACTGTGTAAAGGGTGTGGACTGTAACAAGATCATCTCCATGCTGGTGCTTGAACCCAGAGGTGCTGTGCCAATTCTCACTTGTGTTTCCATTAGTTTTCTGTCTGTGAGCACGGAGAGAATGTATCCTGACATAACAAAAAGCAAGATTAAAGTTAAAATTTATTCTTTATTAACAGTTCAGTTGCGTTTGTAATGAAATCCAGAGTGTGCATTGAATCATTGACTAGATTTGGGAAAGAGCTCTTCAGATTGTCTGGAGCTAATAAAATAATTTCTATAATTGGAAATGCAAAACATTTACCAGCCATTTGGTATTTCTCTCCCACTGACAGGCACAGAGACTGGGTATGGGCTTGTTAGAGGAAAAAACAGTGTTCTTACTCCTTGCTATTGATACAGATCATTATAAGAGAAGAAACATACCCTTTCATTTTGCAATATTATGAAAGTGTCAGGGTCCAAATAAAAAATTACAGTTTCCAAAGCTTTAATGTATAGGAATAAGGAGAGCATGTGATCTTCCCATCCTGTTCTGGCATGTTTTTCTATCTCTGCTTTTCACAGGGGACTTGTGTCAAGGTTTTCATTAGGCAAAGATATCAGTCAGGAGTAACTATATAAAGCATATCTGCAGGATTCTCTGCAGTAATATTTGACATTGCTTTGTCACCTTTCTCAAAGGGTTTGAAACTAGAAGTATTCACCTATGGCAACAAATCTTCAGTTATTATCTTCACTGACAATTGCCTGCTAAGCCTTAGTCCTAAATCCAAAAGTTCATGCTACTTTTGCCTATTTTTTTTTTTTTTTTAGGAGAAAACAAATGTTTAATGTGCATAATTACATCTGAACTGGAATGCCAAAAGGAGATGATTAACTAGCTTGTGATTTTCAGGTTTGTTAGGAAGGGGTCTGAGATGGATTATATGTATTGCAGGTCTGGTTCATATATGTTCCTGCTGTTACTATGACAGAAAAGTAGAGATTGCCACAAATGATAGAACAGATAGAGCTTCGAAGTAAAAAAGAACTTTAAACCACAAGTTACATACTTAGGCATACTTGGAAGAGAGCTGTCAAAACCGATTTGTTAAAACTGAAAGACTAGGTAATGCAATCTCCAAAAGGGAATTAATCAATAAAACAGGAGCTCTGCCATTGAGATTTTACAGAAGGTAGTCTGATGGATTAGACTTTTCACACTTTTATCAGGACAATCTGTCATGTGTAGCTGCAAATCAAATAACACAGTTCATGATCATTTGGGAGCATCATGTGAAGACCAAGAGAGAAATATTCTGGCAATAGTTTGCTTTTCTATTCCTACCTGAGGGGAATGCAGTATATGCAGCTTACCTTCTGCAAGCATTCATGGTATCCGGGTGATTGAGTTCCCACTGCGTCAGATTTCTTTTTGCAGAGAGGAAAGAAGCTTATTTTATCCTTGTTTCCGTGCACAAAATGAGAAAATTTTCTCTCAGTGCCAGCAAAAAGAATCTTCCTTGCAAGCCTACCAACTTGGCCAGCAATAATCTCGGAACATTTCTTATGTATTGATAAAAGCTCTCAAATTAATTGTTTCTAAAGGTGATTTTGACAGAGTTCTTCAAGAAATTCCCTTGAGCAGTTCACAAGGCAAGTTATGAGTAATCCAAATGAACGTCTTCTTTTAGCTGCTGGGATCTCTTGTTATAAACAGTAGCTTGCTGCTGAAGTGTTGCCAAATTTATAACAACACAAGTAATGCACAGATGGAGGATGGTGGTGATAAAAAATGCAGGATGAGCTGTAACTTAGAATTACTTTGTATTAGATCACAAGCTATTTTGGGGTAAAACTTAATTCCTTTCTACAACTGCAATTTGGTTTAAATTGCCTTGGGTGAAATTTCAAGCCACCATCACTTACGTGTGCTCTAATACTCAAAATATTTTTTATGGAAAAAGCAGAGGGCTTTTTAAAAAGACTTTGACTTTTATGATATGATCACATTCAATAAGCAGTCAATAAGCAATATATATTTGCTTATTATATATATACCACAAAATTATATTGCAAATAATATATATACCACAAAAAAACCACATTTTGACATCTAACAAAGTAATACACATCCTATTATTCCCTGACCACCTGGAGCTATTAATTACCAAGAGGCTGTGACAGTGCAGAATTTCTCCCGAGCTGGGTATTGCATGATCACCTGGGTTAATGGTGGGTTTAGTATAACCAATTCAATGCCCCTGTAATGATTTGTAGGGCTTGTAAACAAACACATTTAAATTTGCAATTTATGAAGATAGACCAAAACCCTTCTTTACCAAAACACTTTATTCCATCATCTTTAAAGTAATTGTATTTTTAATTTAACTGTTACTTTCATCTTATTGTCACATATAAATAAGACAAATCTGAACTTGTAATTCTGGTGCATTTCTAAAGGCTTTTGCCTTTTCTTCACATATGTCCTGGTTACAGCATCTATGTTTTTATATAAATAAAACTGGTTCCTTTCGTTTTATTAAAACAACGAGTAATTTCCAAATATTTCCTGGAAGAATCACTTATACTCCAGAAAATTAAGACTGTTTGTTGACCCATGTGACTAAAACTGTGTCACTGGAAGCAGCGAAACTACTAAGGACAAAGATTAATTCTTCATTATTAGTAATATATTAAATACAGTAAACCAGAAATATTACAATTGGAACTTGGAAGAAGGAATTCAGACATGAGTAAAGAATTACTGACTTAAATCAGTTCTAGCTTTTTCAGACATGATCCTGATAATATAGGAAGTTACAACTCTTGGATTTAGTTTTCTTAAATAACACATATGGATAGATGCAACAGTACAAGCTGTATTCTAGTCAAGGGACACACCAATTACAAAAGGCCTGCCAAGGGGAGCATAGCGCTGCCCCAAAACTGCTCCATCCACACCTTTCTGCTCAGCACCACCCACGTGCTTGGCAACTCAGCCTCAGCAATAGGCTGCTTTTCCTGCTCTGCTTAGGGTTAGGGTTGAGAAAAGCACAAAGCCCAGAGCTCCAGAGACTGAAGAAGGCATGGCAAGGGGAGCAGGGCACTGCCCCAGCATTGCTCCCTCCACAGATTCCTGCTCAGCACCACCGTGCTTGGCACCTGAGCCTCAGCCACAGCCTGCTTTTACTGTTCCACTTAGGGTTAGGGTCAGGCTTAGGGTTGAGAAAAGCACAAAGCCTAGAACTTCAGGGACATTGCAACTACAAGAGGCAAAAGGGAGCATCCATGTCATCTCCCTACACTTGATGACAACAGCTTTATTTCACAGTTTTCTTTACTTTTGACCATTGAATTTCTTGCCATTAAAACCCTGCCCTAGTCCATTTGGTTCACTTTTTTCTCTGAGATTTCATTTCCTTTCGCAAAAGGAAAATTTCATTTCATGAAAGGAAATGAAATCTTGCAATTTCAAACAGTACCAATTCAGCAAGGTTTGGTCTATTTCCCTGCGCTTCATGTCATCCATGTTAATTTTTTCACTTTGGTTCAGAAATTTCAACAATGAAATCTTGAAAACAGAGAAGGAAGTGTAACAAACACTCTGGAAGGGAAATATGATATGATTAAAAAAATGCAATTAAAAAAAAAGAAAATTTGGGAATTGAGTGACTCCAACCAAATCAATTGGGATGAAATGAGGTGCAATGAAAAGGACCAAAAATTACCAAAATTATACTAAAGTCCCCAAATCAGGGAATGAAATAAAATAAAAAGACAGGAGAAGAAACTGATGAAATTAAATGCTTAAAGAAAAGAAAGTCTGCAACAAAGGGAAAACAATCAAATGGCATGGGATGACATGAAGTGCAGGGAAATGGACCACACCTTTCCAAATTGATCATCGTTGAAATTGCAAGATTTCCTTTCAGGAAATGAAGAATTGCATTTCCTTTGAGGAAATGAAGAATTTCATTTCATGAAAAGAAATGAAGTCTTGAAAATAGAGAAAAAAGTGAAACAAACAGACTAAGTAGGAATTATAATGACATGAAATTGAATGAAAAGAAATAAAAGAAACCAATGAATCTAAATAGTTACATCCATAAGAGTAATTCAAGGAGCAATGAGGAAAACATCAAAGAGAATGGGTAGAAAGTTCTGATGTAAAAAGCTGGAAGACAGAAACTGTAACAATGAGGATTGGCCTATTTTAGAAGCAACTAAGCCGGACAGTTCCCCATGCAACTGACCACTGCCAGCCTGGTGTCATTTCAAGGGAGGGAGAAGTGTGAGGTGAGCATGTTAATATTCAGCAGAAACCTATTTGTCCCAGCCATTTACTGTGCATATTTGCCAATAAATAGGATACTTGCTATACACTCATTACATGCATACTCCATGTAGGGCTCCATGAAAGGTAAAAAAATGACAAATGGTCGACTGGAGAAAGGATTAGAGAATATCTTATCTGCATCAAAATCTGCAGGTTATGATTAACTATTCTTATTCAGCTGATAAATTCCAGCTTATTGATTTAGTAATCTAAAAATACTTAGAATAGAATACATCACTGGAACTCAATTTCTCATACCAAGCATGCATGAAGAGAAAAGCCTAAGCACTGCACAGATTAAATGTTAGAAGAAATGTGAAGAGTTGTGTCTTCCTAGTGTTTTTTATGAACATGGTTCTACTTTTAAAACTATTCTAACAGTCAGGCTGCTTTAATGGGACTGATAATATTAGTCTGTAGCTGGGACTGACATCCATGGATCTCATTATTCCTTATGCCATTTTAGGATTAGACATATATCCCCTTCACAAAATCACTGAATCCATTAGGCTGGAAAGGACCTCTGTGTCCAACCTTCGAACACAGCTTTGACTAGACCGTGGCATTGAGCGCCACATCGTCTTCCCTTGAATACTTCCCGGATGATGACTCCACCCCGGGCAGCCCATTCCAATGTCTAGGCACGCTTTCTGCGATTAAATTCCTCTAATGTCCAAGCTGAACCTCCGTTTGGCTTCACTTCTAAAGCTAAGCTGCTGGGACAGCCACACCCAGCAAAGGAGTCAAGGAAAGCAAAGAACGGGCACAGCGCCTGCAGACACGGCCGCACGGGAGCCCTGCGGCGCCGCCCACACCCCGCTGAGGCCGTCCCTTGCGCCGCTGCCACACCGCGGTTGCCGAGGCCGGCCGGGCAGGCCGGGCTGAGCAAGGACGAGCGCGGGGGCGCCGCGCCACGGCCAGAGCCGGGCCGGCGGCGAGGGCAGGGCGGGGCGGCGCGGCAGAGCAGCCGTTGGGCGCCCCTGCAACTACAAGCCCCAGAATGCACCGGAGGTTCCGTGTATCCTTCGAACCTGCCAATGAGGGCGCGCGGGGCGAGTCACGTGAGCGGGGCGCGCTTTCCAAGCCGGGGCGGGAGCGCGGCTCGCGCGTGGTGTCGGTGAGCGGTGAGCGCGGGGGGAACGGCGGCGGCCCGGCCCTCAGCCCCGGCTCCTGGCTGCCCGGGGGCCACTCCCCGTTTCCCGTCGGGGAAAGGGGGAACCTGTGCGAGCTGGCCTGAGGTGGGGCGTTGGGCGGTCGGTGGGATGGTGAACTGTTTGGCATCCCATAAACCAACTTTTCGGTGGTGCCCAGTGACAGGATGGGAAGCGATACTAAATGAAACTAAACCACGGGAAGCTTCGTTTCAGCGTGAATAGGCACTTTACATCGAGGGTGGCAGAACAGCAGAATAGGCTGCCCGGGGGGGGGTCGCGAAGCCTCCTCTGGAGATATTCCTGATCACTGGAGGCGTTCCTGTGTAACTTGCTCCAGGCACCCTGTCGTGGTATGGGATTGGACTAGACGATCTCCAGAGGTCTCTTTCAACCCTAACTATCCTGTGATTCTGTGTGGCAGTCCCTAAATACGAGAGTCTTCAGAGGGACTGTTTACCCCTTCACTAATTCAGCAGTATCCTCAAAGCCTGTGACCCTGTTGTTTGGTTTTGTGCTTTTTTAAAACCTACTACATGTCTACTTCTATGTTTTCCAGGTACTATGGAAGAAAAAAAAGAAATGTCGGTAGATAGCCTGAGTCATATGATTGAAGAAAAATTGGATATTTGCATGAGCAATGGTAGGTGGAAAGCATGTTGAGTTATTCTCTATACCACGTAGAGAATAACTCAACATATAACTCAAAAATTTTGTTAATTTTGTGTCATAGGTTATGACAGATCAGAGACATCTGTCTGCCTTATATCACATTGTGTGTACTCACTTCCTTGGATGGGCTGCTGTTGCCAGGCTCAGAAGCCTCCTGAGGAGCTTGTGGAGCGTGGTGCTCAAGCTTGTATAACAGTGACTGATGTCACTCTTCTATAGATCTAATTTGAGTTCCTCCCTTATCCAGCAGCTGCTGATTTACATAGTGTATAGGTTAACTAATAAAAAAAGTAATCTTTCTCACTGGCTCCTGCTACTGTTCTGTGGTAACCTGAAAAATAAAAGTACTGATGGACGGGACAAATGCATGGTCACATAGCTCTGGATTACATGTTCTCACTCATTTTGATTGGAGGCTGCTGATAAGCTGCATTCCATGTTGCTGTTACAGCTGCTTAGAAATTACCATTAAGCTATTTCATGATATTTGAGCATCTCACAATTCTGCTCATATTCACAACTGTACCTTAAATTTCTTGAACCTAAAATGTTTTCCTGAGTTTAGTATTTTAAATTTGGTAGCTAAAGCTTTTTTTGCCAGCTGACATCACTC